GCAGCAGCCGATGGCTTCCAGCCGAGACCAGGGACTGGTGCCATTTGTCACTGTGGTCAGCTGGCTCGTTAGTTCCTGCTCTGTCCGGAGCTGAATTGCTCGGTGCTTATTGCTGGGGGGGGGGAGACCAGTTGGGAGCAGCAGCCAGGTCCCGACAAATGGTGCTTTTCACTTGAAGAAGATAATGAGAAAGAAACTCACTATGGCGAGGTGTCAGATCTAACAGCAGGTCACAGCAGGGGCTGGGCAAAATGTGGAGATGCTGGTCTCTCCACACCCTAACGAACATGTAGCCGATAGCTCACAGCTCCTCCGCACAAGAGCCTTTCAGCCAACGCACGCTGCACCAAGCCCCTGCCTGCTCGGAGCGTGCGTTAACAGCCCCTGGCACTCCCCGCCCGGGCAGGGGGGCGAATCCCAGCCCTTCGGCTGAACCTATTCCCTCTCCAAACCGTTGCGCTGGCTGCTTTCTTCCGCCCCAGAGATGTTTGCGTTATCTTCTGCGCTCTGTGCACGTAGTCTCTAAACCCTTTGAAGGCTGTTTGGAACAAAAAAAAGATTCTCTGGTGTTTGTGTTGGATGAAAACTGGGATGCTGCCAGCGCTGTGTGCAGGCTGGGGGGGCCGGGTGGGAGGGAGGGGAGCAGCGGGATGGGAGCAGCCGGGCAGGCTGGGAGGTCTCGGCTGACGGCTGCTGCTCTTCCCCTGCCAGCCCAAGATCGTGGAGGCCCTGCTGGGCTACGAGATGGTGCAGGTGGCCTGTGGTGCGTCCCACGTTCTGGCGGTTTCCAACGAACGGGAAGTGTTTGCCTGGGGCAGGGGGGATAATGGTAAGAGATGCCTGCTTCACAAAACAGGGCTTGTGCCTTCCATTGCCTGTTCCCACTCCCCTCCTGGCCCTGCTTGCCCACAGTCCCCCCCAGATGTGCCAGGCTAGGTGGGTGTGGGTGAGTTGCAGCTGCTTCACTGCATACCAGGGCCCCAGCGCTTTGGGTTTCACCGCCTTTGCTGGTGACAGGTCCCAGGCTGGGCTCTTGCAGCAGCCGTGTCGATGCCGTCGTTCGTGGGGTGTGCTCAGGCTCTGTGTTGCCGTCAGCTGTGCCCTGCTCTCTTCCTCCTGCAGGTCGGCTCGGGCTGGGTACCCTGGAGTGCCACAACTCCCCCCAGCAGGTCACAGTCCCGCCAGACCACGAGGCTCAGAGGGTCATCTGCGGCATCGATTCCTCCATGGTCCTCACCGTGAAGAACCAGATTCTTGCTTGTGGGAGCAACAGGTAAGGGGGGGTGTGAGGGACTATGCTCCAGAGCTTGCCTGTGGCCTCCGGGGCCTGTCCAGTCCAGGAAGAGGGAGCAGGAGGCTCTAGAAGACATCTCTGTGTGATCCTGCTGCCCAGCATCTCACTGCTGGTGGTGCAGTTATGCTAGAGCAGGATTTGTCTCCGGGGTGTCTGCGCCAGGGTGCGTTCAGCCGGCTCTGAGCTGTGCTTTTCCCCATGCAGGTGTAACAAGCTGGGCCTAGATCAGATCAGCTCAGTAGAGGAGCCTTCCCCAGAGGACCAGGTGGAAGAGGCCACCGTGTTCATGTGTGCCCAGTCGGCCCCCTTGAACCAGGAGCCGATCGTGTGTGCTGACATCGGTACAGCGCACTCGGCTGCAGTCACAGGTGAGGGGTGCGTGCCCAGATCCCTGAAGGAGGACCTGCATTTTTGCTGTCTTCCTCCCGCCTCCGTTTCCCGTGGGCAGAGGCCTCTGAGAGGCTCAGGAAGCACTGTTCTCCCAATGCTGGAGCTCTGTGGAGCAGGATGCTCAGCACAGTAGAAAGCAAAGAGCTTCAGGGGCTTCAGTGCCTCCTCGGGTGACACCCAGTTGTTTCTCTCATCTCTGTTGTCAGCTTCTGGCCAGTGTTACACCTTTGGGAGCAACCAGCACGGGCAGCTGGGCACCAACTCCTGCCGCAACAGCCGCGTACCCCACCTGGTTGTGGGGCTCCAGGCAATGAAGGTCAGCGTGGTGGCTTGTGGGGATGCCTTCACTGTGGCCATTGGAGCAGGTGAGCCTGAAGCCCCCGTGTCCTGGGCTGCAGCAGGCCCTGGCTTTCCTCTGCCTGCAGTCCATGCTGTGGCCAAGGCAGGCCTTGGAGACAGCCCAGGGTGGTACCAGGGAGATGGGAGGCCTGTTTGCTGTTGAGCTCTGTGTGCAGCAAGGTGTACATATAGAATCATAGAATCACAGAATGGTAAGGGTTGGAAGGAACCTTGAAGATCATCTGGTTCCAACCCCCCTGCCATGAGCAGGGACATATTCCACTAGATCAGGTTGCTCAGAGCTCCATCCAACCTGGCCTGGAACATATCCCTCTGCAGACGGCGAGGTGTGCACGTGGGGGAAAGGAGCCAGAGGACGCCTGGGCAGGAAGGATGAAGAAACGGGAGCGCCGAGGCCGGTGCAGCTGGAGGAGACGCATCCATACCTGGTGACCTCCGTAGCCTGCTGCCACGGGAACACGCTGCTGGCAGTAAAGCGTGAGTAGAGGCTTTGTTACTGTGACTGCTGCCGTGAGGGCCCAGCCAGACACAATGCCTTGTGACCGGAGCTGTACCGAGTAACCCTGGCGCGTAAGCTCGGTGTTATTCTAGTCCCCGTAGAGCTGCAGATGAATAGAAATAACTTGAAGCCCATAAAAAACTCCCCTTCCTCTGGGCTGGGGGAGCAAAGGGACGGCAGAGGCAGTCTCGGGCACTCCAAGACCGGTGGGCTGGCCAGGCTGCGGCCAGTGGGGAGCTGGTGTGCTGGCGGTCCACCGAGTATCCAAAAAGAGCAGCTCCCTAATTGATGCTGCTGAAATAGAAGCTGAGATTTGAGGCGTCATTTTGGCTGCTGGCTTTCCATTGTGGTTTGGAAAAGATAGTGATGGTTTTGTGGTTCTTTTCTGCTCGGGCCAAAGGCAGCATCGTTGCACAGTTAAAACGTGCCCATGGCGTGACCTGCCCTTCCGTTGCCTGGGTGTACGATGGGAGCCTGGCCCAGACTGCTGGAGGGGCCTTTCTTCCTCCTCTGCTGGGCTGATTATGGCCTCGGCGCTGGGCTGAGGGATTGCAGTCCCGGCCCACTTCAAGGAGGCTAATTACACCCCAGAGGGGAGGAGGCCCAGCTGACTGCCCTGGTGCAGCTGAGTCGGCCATGGCTCCCGTTCCTCCCCTGCGAGTGCCGAGCTCTCATGTGATGGGTGCTGCCACATGAAGGGGACAGGGAATGGCTGAGTCCCCAGGCTTGGGAACAAGTAGGGCGTTTGTCACGGCAGTAAAAGGGTTTTGTTTCTGCAGGAAGGCTGCAGGCTGCTCTCCCCTTCCACTGCCGGAGTCGCCCTGTGCTCCGTGGCAGCTGGTTTGTGGGTTCCCACCTGCAGCACTGTAAGAGCAGGGTCTGAGCGTGCAGTCCCCACCGTAGCCCCACTGCCGTCCCTCTGCACTGCCTGGTGTGAAACCTCAACCCTCCTTCCCGCTGCTGGAAGTACGGGCTCAGCAGCAGCGCTGTCGGGTCAGCACCCTCGCCTGCTCCAGCATCCCTCAGTAACCAGGGTGCAAAAAGCATCGAGAGATCTGTGAAAAGCTGAATTCTGACTCTGGACTTTCACGTAGCTCAGTCTGCCTGGAAACCTCTCCAGACAGAACACAAGGGCTGGCGACACGTTTGATGTTGTTGCTGCTGTCAGCTCTGGCTGTGATCTGGCCTGGAGAAGGTGCTCCACCTTTGGGGCGGCAGTTCTGCACCGCTCTGCGGGTTCCTCCCATGCAGGCAACACCACTTTTAACTGGCTTGGGCTTCTACCCACTTTATCATGAGGCCATTGCTACGCCCTTCTCTCAATCCCACTGCAAACACGGGAATAACTGGGAGAAGCCAGCCATGCTGGAGGGGAGGAGGAGGGCGCAAGCCTCAAGAGACTGCGTTTCCTCCTGCTTGGGCTCTGTGTGCTGGGCATTGCCTCCTGCTTGTGGCCTTGCAGCAGCTTCCTGGGGTAGAGGGACAGGGACTGCGGTGCCCATCTGTTGGGTATCTGGGCTGTGTGAGGCAGGGCATGCTCCCTGTAGCTTCGTTGAGATGGCGGCTTACGGCTAATTCTTGGTCCTTGTGTTTCAGCTGCCGTGGAAGAGTCGCCTTCCCAGTGAGGCTGAGCTGAGAGGGGCCACATCCAGCCTTGCCATATAGGTGCTGGGGGTCCCCCAGACCCCCAGCACGCCTGCTGTCCTGCTGCTGCCCGCTACAGCCTGGCTCGGACCCGCGTCCCCAGGCTCAGAAGCTCCTCAGCTGCACTCCCAAGGCAGAAGTCTGGAAACGGGGAGCTCCTAATGATGGTTCCCACGGAACCGGAGCTGATCTCGCTCATCGGATCAACGAGGGTCGCTGTCAGCCTCCGGCGCCCGAGAGCCGCTGCCCTGGACGTGCTGTGGGGCAGACGTCCCCGAGCTCCGGCACTGCGGAATGGGGTCGTGCTGGGGCTCTGCCCCTCCCCGCTGGAAGTGCCTGTGTGGAAGGGTGAGGAGCACAGAGGTTGTTTTCCCCGGTGGAAGCTGTCTCTGGTTACAAAGCGCAGGCTGACAGCTTGGTGTCTGAGAGGGCTGTCAGCCTTTGCACAGCAGTGTCTGGAGTTAGGGCCCCAGGCGCTACGCTGGGTGACTAAGTGCAAACCTCTTTTCTAATTAGAGAAGTCTGTCCTTTCCCATCCCCCCCCCCCTTTAAAACGGCCCCAGGAGCTCACCGGAGGATCCTCCAGCTGACATTTGTCCTCAGGCCCCTAAATCCTGCTGGCTCCCAGCTGAGCTAGCGGAAGGCCGAAAAACACAGCCAGCGACTGTCAGTAATTGAAATTTTTTAACCCAGTTCTCTCCAGGGAGATGATGAGCTTTCACCAGGGATCCTTTCTGCAGGCGGGAGGGGGCATATCGCCGTGTCACAGGCAGGAGCTCTGGTTTTTATCTCCAGAAGGGTCGTTTCCTTTCCTTTTCTTTTTTTTTTTTCCCTCCTCTTTTCTTTTTTTAACTTACATCTGCCGTGGGCCATTTTTTGATGAGCTTCTGTCTCTGATCTGTCTGACATTGCAAATGCTCTTGCCTTTCACATCCATCTTTGTGCTGTTGCCAATCTGTTGTGTATAAAGTCAGTGCTTTCATAAGCTGGCTGAGATGAAATCTCTCTAATTATTTTTGTGATTCTTTCCTGTTTTCAATGAGGGAAACCTCGCCGGGCTCTGGTAGAAACCGACTGATCCCTCTGTCATGTGAAAGGTAATGAATTTCTGCAAGGCTCCTGCTCTTCCCTCCCTCGCCTCGCAGGCTCCGGCTGGGGAAGGGAGCAGGTCCTGTCCAGCCGGGAAAGGCGTGTGCAGCTCTGGCTGCAGACCCTGCCTCCCTGTTTGGCTCCCGGCAGGGTGGGTGCACGGGTTTTTCCCTGCCGTTTTTGTTTCTTGTGGAGCTGCCTTTTCAAGCGGTTACACCCTGCTATCCCGGGAAGCTGACTTGCGTTCAAAGGCTCTGCCGGTCCCTTGGCGCTCGCCCTGTGCTGCAGGTTACAGGGATGGCTCTGGCAGCCCGGTGTCGGCGGAGGGGAAGGTGTTCTCCGCTCCCAGACCAGCGTGGGCACCAGGGTAATTGCAGGGCTGGGTTAAATTGCCCCGAAGCCCTTCTGGGCCGGTGCCTCTCCTCCCCGTGCTGAGCTGGTGGCAGCACCAGCTCCTCCAGCAGCAGATTTCTCTCGGCTCTGTTGTGCTCAGCTCACGGGGCTCCCCTTGCCCCAGACCACATGCAGACACATCCCCTAAGAAGGGGCTGGTGTTTCTGCTGTGGCCTCACTGGGACGGCAGTCAGGCAGGACAGAGGTCTCTGCTGCCCTTTGTCTTGTCAATGGTGGCACCAAAATGTCACCGCTGCAGGGGACGTGCAGCCCGGAGAGCCGGGCTCTCCCTGCTCCAGCTTGGCTGCAAAATCCAGCGGTGAGCCCCGCGGCAGCCCCCCAGTTCCCACTGACGCGCTGGCGTGGGGCGGGGAGGGGTTATGGCTTAACGATGCTTTTGCATGGTAGCGCTGGGGCTGGAGG